GAAGAGACGGATTACCAATGTGAACTCTATAATGTGCTTCTAATTCTCGGGTCAGTTTCTGAATTTGCTTCCACCGTTCTCTGTTTCTGGAAGAGGCCATGGAGATAAGGCGGCCACGTAGAACCGCCTTATGAGCTACCCACAGCGTGGCTGGAGATATATCAGGAGTTGTGTTTGACTGAAAGTATTCCTGAATGGAGGCGACCAACTCCTGGCGAGATGTAGTATCAGTGAGCATAGAATCATTAAGTCTCCAGGAATAGGGGGTAGGTGCCAACCCTATAAATGTGATAGATAAGGCTATAATATTATGATCTGACCAGGGGCTCAAGTGAATGCAAGCTTTCCTAGACTAGCTAGTATAATGGGGGTGCAGTAGATATAATCTAAGTATAAGAGTCATGTGGGTGAGAATAAAATGAATAATCCCTAGCTCCTATATTATGCGCCCTCCAGGAATCCACCAACTGGAGAGCATCTAATCTTTTAGTGAGGGATTTTGGGAAAGCCTGGGAGGAAGGCGAGGATGAGCTTCGGTCCAAAAGGGTTTTTGCTACCAGGTTGAAATCACCACACCAATAGATGGGTGGATAAAAACATTTCCAGAATTTAGAAAAATTGAGAAAAAAAAGGACGCTTGCGCTGAATTTGTTGCATAGATGTTAGCGATTGTGAGTTTCACGACCCGAGAGAGTGCCTTTGACAATATTAAACCTACTTTCTGGGTCACGATAAAAATGCTGAACTTCGAAAGGAAATGAGTTATGCAAAACAATGGCCACTCCTCTGCTTTTAGAAGAGTGTAAGGTGTAAAACCCCTGTTTGTAGGATTTATGAAAATATGTCGGGTGTTTAGCGACTGCAAAATGGGTTTCTTGCAGTAAAATAATTTTAGCCCCTAGGCGCTTATATTGAAGAAAGGCTGTTTTGCATTTATTTGGTGAGTTGAAACCCTGGACGTTATGAGAAATACACTGGATTTACCATGTGAAACAAACATTATATCTATCAGCAGTAAGGTATACATTGGAAAGACATCCCTTAATTATTATTTGTCTAGACAGTAGAAACATGCAAATCCACAACAGACAAGGCTACAGCCTTCAGTATCAATTTATGGAGCATCCAGGCCCCATTATGGATGCCTGGACATCCACAAACTGGTGCAAAAAAATATCATGTACTAAAGCTTTTAAAGAAAGAAAACATAAAGCAATAGAGGTAGAGCTTTAAGAGCTCCTGCAATGAAGAGGATTGCTAATATAAACATGGATGATCAGGTGGGGCTAGTTGCCATACCTGAAAAACATAATCAAACATCAAAAGGCCAAATCGGGCCCAAAACCCTGTCGCCGTAAGAATGGAGAACAGAGCTGCCACCCCACAACTGGGCGGTGACACCCCTGGAACCATGCCAGGCGGCAGGGTGAGGTCACGTGTCCAAGAGTTTTGGAAACATTAACAAACGGGCGGTGTAGTAAAGGTCCAAAGACCTCTGTTAATCTTTTACACATCCAGATAGATATAAAGAAAAAGATGCAAACATAATAATCAGAATATATAGATATCTCAGCGATGACCGAGAGAACATCCAAAGGATGTATGAGATACAAACAAGAGAAAAATCCCTTCATCTCGGTTCCTGTCTGATTCTCCTTCCTATCCCTACGTGGAGATGGAGTATGCCAAATGGGAGACACACGAGGAGTGGACGGTGGATGTTGAGGTGACGGAGCGTCCGCCAAGCCTAATTTAGCCAGGAAGAGAGGTAGCTATATAGGTGCTACCATTATGAGGGACTATTAGCTTAAAAGGGAAGCCCCATTTGTAGCGAATGCGAGCTGAAAAAAGGGTAGATGTGATTTCCTTCATTTTCCTACGTCTCGGTCCAACGTGGCAGGGGAGACATCCGGAAATATTTGTAGAGTTGAGGGTATATCCTGGAGGACGTCACGTGTATCAATCATGACGTAACGCGTCGATTAACACCAGTAGGAGGGGCTGACGCGGTCAACGTAGTGACGTCATATCCGGTGCGGACGCCTCATCTTGGTGCACCCCAGCATTGCCCACACATGCAGTACACCCATCAGTGTGGTGAAAACGCCGGTTTACATCTGATGGAATGTGAGTAAGCATTTTAGCTTTGGCATTTGTAATAATGATTTTACACTATATTGGATCTCTTTGCTTTACTGGGGATGGGTATGGAGTGATACCGTCCTAGTATCAGGAGGTGCAGCGTCTGGATACCTACCCACCAGAGGAGAGGAGAGAGTCTCATCATTATTGTTAAGGAGGATTCCACCCCTTGGAGGATTATAAAGAGGCATATTTAGCTCAATGGTCCTGAGGGGCCTGGGCAGGAAGGTGAGGGGGCACCCCTATCACTGTGGATTCACATGCAGTTTGGAGCACTTGCATGAAGAGTGTTTTTGTTGTTTCACCTAATAGGACACTTATCTATTTTGTACTGTAGGTGTCAATGAGACTGACCCCCTGTTATGCATGAGGTTCAAATTGCTACAAGGGGCACAATATATTGGTATAACAACTCATTGAATCTCCCATCTAGGACCTATGTCCTTACTACTATTATTTTAATATGCACATGTATTCGTAGCGCTGCACTACTAATAGATTCTGATTTTGTAGAGTTGAGCCCTCAAAGGTGATTATTGGGGTTATTGCGAGCAGCTCTGAGGAGATCCTCTTTGGTCAAGAAATCCTTCATACACAGGACAATATCGCAAGGTGGCTTGTCATTAGGAGGCTTTGGGCACAAAGCTCTATGAATGAGATCACAGACGAAAGATCCAGTATCATGATCTGGGAGGAGAGATCTAAATAACTTGGCTATGGCCTGTGGAAGGTCAGTCACCGTCTATCACTAACAAAATCACTAACAAACTCATGCAGACTCCACCTCCGCAACATCGCCAAAATCTGCACGTTCCTAACTCTAGAAACCACTAAACAGCTCATCCACTCCCTCATCATATCACGACTCGACTACTGCAACTCCCTCCTCACTGGCCTGCCTCGCCACAGGCTATCCCCGCTTCAGTCCATCCTGAATACGGCGGCCAGACTCATCCACCTTACCAACCGCTCTGTTTCCGCCACCCCCTCTGCCAATCCCTCCACTGGCCTCCACTCAGTGTCCTCCACCCCCCTCTGCCAATCCCTCCACTGGCCTCCACTCAGTGTCCTCCACCCCCCCTCTCCCAATCCCTCCACTGGCTTCCGATTGCCCAACGGATCAAATTCAAAATGCTAACACTGACGTACAAAGCTGTCCATAATTCTGACCCAAACTACATCACTGACCTAATATCCAAATACCACCCAAAACGCACACTCCGCTCCTCACAAGACCTCCTTCTCTCTAGTTCCCTGGTTTCCTCCTCCCATGCTCACCTCCAGGACTTCTCCAGGGCATCACCCATCCTCTGGGACTCCCTATCCCAATCCATCAGATTATCACCTACTCTCCTCTCCTTTAGGCGCACCCCTAAAAACCCATCTCTTCAGGGAAGTCTACCCCACCCTCTGCTAAACTGCCGATCACCTGTATAATAATAATAATAAAAGAATTGAAATGTAGACAACATGTCATCCTTAATGGAGGTGAGCACTTTATGGCAGGCTGTAAATGACTTATCCTTAATTAGGCTAGCCACACAATTGCGGCATAAGGGTTTTTCCCAAGCTGAACCCAATTTAGCTGCACAAACTGCACACTTCTTCTTGGGGGTCTGACTCTGCACCTTGTCCTGGACTTTAACCTACAATAAGCAAGAAAAAACACAATACAGAAAATAATCAGCCCAGGGCCCCTCATACAAAAACCACTGTGCTGGGGGAGCAAGAAAAGGAAGTGTGCCCACCAGGGTCAGCAAGAGGGATCAGAGTTCCCAAGCTTACCTTAGAGGAGCCAGTGCCTGAAGGACCAGGGTCTGCCTGAGAAGTGCCAGCACCTTCCATCCATCCCTCTTGGTGTGAAGCCAAAGGCTCTGCTGGGTCTGTACACCAGACTGGCTGCCTAACCAAATGCTAGTGCGCTATGGAGACTGGAACCACGAGTCTCCGGCGCCCATCAATGACGTCTCTGCAGCCGAAATTTCCGGTTCCTGGACAGCACCCAGAAGTTGCGGCTACTCCCACGCCTGCTTGACAGTAACTCTGCTCCACTGTGCATCAGATGCTGGAGATCCCCCCTGCACGGGAAGAGAACGACAGGCATCAAAGGTCCTGGACCCCCCAGGACACCCCCGATAGTCATGATCCACTGAGGCATGGAAAGATATCAGGAGCGCAGCCCCACTCCCCCTGAAGGGATCACGTCGGGCAGGAGGAAGTAAGCCAGACCAGGAGCCACCAGCAACCTCTAGGGCTCGGACTTCAACAATCAGTTTCTTGATGACTGCACCCATCCTTCCAGAGGAAACACTAAAAAGTCAGGAGGGAGGCCTAGTGGTCCGCCTTTTATAGTACTGTGCTTACGTGTTTCCTGTCCCAGAAGGAGGAGCTCTGTCTCAGGAAGGCTGTCCTGGAGGACGTTTGAGAGAAATGAACATTAGAATGACTGAGAGACAAAAGCCAGAAATAGATCAGTGGCTGCATGCACGCCTCATTGTTAGGCTGCAGGTAGAGAGGCAGAGATGAGGCAGGATTTATCATGAAATACAAATTAAAGTGTATTATTTTCAAAACAGCCAAGAATATTTCACAAGGTCTGAAAAGTATGTAAGTCATCGAGTTATTCCCCAATTTAAGAAGAAGAGCATAACTGCAGGTAGTAAATGTAAGAGAGGAGTTGCAGATGATACGATGGTGGGTAGTATGTACAGGAGAGGAGTGTGGAGGTATGACAGTGATCGGTATGTACAGGAGAGGAGTACGAGGTATGACAGTGATCGGTATGTACAGAGAGGAGTGTGTGGAGGTATGACAGTGATCGGTATGTACAGGAGAGGAGTACGGAGGTATGACAGTGATCGGTATGTACAGGAGAGGAGTGTGGAGGTATGACAGTGATAGGTATGCACAGGAGAGGAGTACGGAGGTATGACAGTGATCGGTATGTACAGGGGAGGAGTGTGGAGGTATGACAGTGATCGGTATGTACAGGAGAGGAGTGTGGAGGTATGACAGTGATCGGTGTGTACAGGAGAGGAGTACGGAGGTATGACAGTGATCGGTATGTACAGGAGAGGAGTGGGAGGTATGACAGTGATTGGTGTGTACAGGAGAGGAGTGTGGAGGTATGAAAGACAGTGATCGGTATGTACAGGAGAGGAGTATGACAGTGATGGTACATACAGGAGATGACAGTGATGGTGATCGGTACAGGAGAGGAGTACGGAGGTATGACAGTGATCGGTATGTACAGGAGAGGAGTGTGGAGGTTATGACAGTGATCGGTATGTACAGGAGAGGAGTGTGGAGGTATGACAGTGATCGGTATGTACAGGAGAGGAGTGTGGAGGTATGACAGTGATCGGTATGTACAGGAGAGGAGTGTGGAGGTATGACAGTGATCGGTATGTACAGGAGAGGAGTGTGGAGGTATGACAGTGATCGGTATGTACAGGAGAGTGATCGGGTATGTACAGGAAAGGAGTGTGGAGGTATGACAGTGATGGGTATGTACAGGAGAGGGAGTGTGGAGGTATGACAGTGATCGGTATGTACAGGAGAGGAGTGTGGAGGTATGACAGTGATCGGTATGTACAGGAGAGGAGTGGAGGTATGACAGTGATGGGTATGTACAGGAGAGGAGTGTGGAGGTATGACAGTGATCGGTATGTACAGGAGAGGAGTGTGGGAGGTATGACAGTGATCGGTATGTACAGGAGAGGAGTGTGTGGGGGTATGACAGTGATCGGTATGTACAGGAGAGGAGTGTGGGGGGTTATGACAGTGATCGGTATGTACAGGAGAGGAGTATGGGGGTATGACAGTGATTGGTATGTACAGGAGAGGAGTACGGAGGTATGACAGTGATGGGTATGTACAGGAGAGGAGTGTGAAGGTATGACAGTGATCGGTATGTACAGGAGAGGAGTACGGAGGTATGACAGTGATGGGTATGTACAGGAGAGGAGTGTGAAGGTATGACAGTGATCGGTATGTACAGGAGAGGAGTACGGAGGTATGACAGTGATCGGTATGTACAGGAGAGGAGTGTGGGGGGTATGACAGTGATCGGTATGTACAGGAGAGGAGTGTGGGGGGTTATGACAGTGATCGGTATGTACAGGAGAGGAGTATGGGGGTTATGACAGTGATCGGTATGTACAGGAGAGGAGTACGGGGGGTATGACAGTGATCGGTATGTACAGGAGAGGAGTGTGGGGGTATGACAGTGATCGGTATGTACAGGATAGGAGTGTGGAGGTATGACAGTGATCGGTATGTACAGGAGAGGAGTACGGGGGTATGACAGTGATCGGTATTAGATGAGTGAATTATTCAAAAATTTGGTTCGGCTGATTCGCCGAATTCGCCGAATTCCCGAATAAATTTGCTTCAAGCCGAATATATTTGCTGCGAATTTAACTTATAAAAAGGGTGTTTCTAGGCTTCAGAGAGCCTTTATATTAGTGCAGAACACTGTACCTTTAATTTAAATGCCCTTGGAGTCTGCTGGGGAAGAGAAATAATACTGTCAGTCAGTATGACATGCAGATGAGTGCCGTCGATCTTAGAATCACCGCACACTTCACTCATTTGGGCAGTCACGGGGCCAAAACCAGAGTGTGGAGCCACAGTGTGGCGGTGGAGGCAGCAGCAATGGGAGGCCATACAGCACCCTATGACAAAATGGAACCCACCAGCAGTGTGAGGAGACCTGAAAGTGGCACATGGCAGATTAGTGGAATGCACTAATCACCCAAAAAATATTACCGCCACCCGGCGTGTAAATGGATCTAACTCTTTGAACGTACAATAGTGGTTGTGAAGCAGAAAGTCAGTTTATTTTGCACAATCGGCAAACTGCAGCACCAAACTGTGCACGACAGCCACCAAAAAAAAAAAAGGGTGTATGTCACTTTAAATTTTCGATTCTTTGATAGCTGTGTCCCTGAGTAACGATTCTGTGTCCCTGAGTAACGATTCTGTGTCCCTGAGTAACGATTCTGTGGCCCTGAGTAACGATTCTGTGGCCCTGAGTAACGATTCTGTGGCCCTGAGTAACGATTCTGTGGCCCTAAAGTCTCTGTGGCCCTAACTCTGTCCCTTAATTCACACAGGTCTGTCTCTCTTGAATGACCGGAGGCTAATGGAGAATTCTAAGATGGCCGCGATTTATAGCTCCACCATTACACAGTGCTGGCTGGCTGCTGATTGGCTAATGCGATCACATGTCATGAATGCATTATGGGTCAGCGTGCCTTGTCTGCGCGCCTTCCCAGAGATCCCCGCCCCATCTTCTCTGTCCATTTTCTCCGTCGCCACACATGTCGCCGCCATTTTTGGGAAAATTTGATTTGTGCATCCGAAGTTTGCTAATCTTCGGATTCGTCGCGAATCAAATTTTTCCAAATCTTCGGAACGAATTCCACTTCGTCATGTTCGATTTGCTCATCTCTAATCGGTATGTACAGGAGAGGAGTGTGGGGTGTATGACAGTGATCGGTATGTACAGGAGAGGAGTGTGGGGGTATGACAGTGATCGGTATGTACAGGAGAGGAGAATGGGGGGTATGGCAGTGATCGGTATGTACAGGAGAGGAGTGTGGGGGGTATGACAGTGATCGGTATGTACAGGAGAGGAGTGTGGGGGGTATGACAGTGATCGGTATGTACAGGATAGGAGTGTGGAGGTATGACAGTGATCGGTATGTACAGGAGAGGAGTACGGAGGTATGACAGTGATCGGTATGTACAGGAGAGGAGTATGGGGGGGTATGACAGTGATCGGTATGTACAGGAGAGGAGTATGGGGGGTATGACAGTGATCGGTTTGTACAGGAGAGGAGTACGGAGGTATGACAGTGATCGGTATGTACAGGAGAGGAGTATATGGGGGGTATGACAGTGATCGGTATGTACAGGAGAGGAGTAGTATGGGGGGTATGACAGCGATCGGTATGTACAGGAGAGGAGTATGGGGGGTATGACAGTGATCGGTATGTACAGGAATGAATCAGATGTGGGCAGGGAGGGTGATCGGCACGGTGGGGCAGCAATTACTGGAACCGATCCCCTGTACAGCTCTCTCTGCAGCAGCTGAAAGTCGGCTTCTTCTCCTCTCTCTGGCCAGATTTCAGCTGCAGATAGAGCTATACAAGGGATCAGTTCCAGTAATTGCCCCTCCCCCTTTGCCCCACCACCACACCCATCACCTTCCCTGTGCACCATATGTTTCCTTTTGCTGCCCAGGGCCCCCCACCGCTGCAGTACTTCCGGGTTCCTCTGCTTCCCTCCCACAGCTAAGAGCACAGGTCCTCTAAATATGTCACACTTACCAGCCCCTTATTTTCCTGAATGAACAGAATGATTTATCAGTACCGAGCACTCACTGTGTTCATTCCTAACTAAATTATATTAAACTTTTTTTTGGGGGGAGGGGCCCTATCAGATTGGCTGTATGGGGCCCTGTTGTTTGTAAACATCTTCCCTGTTCATACCCTCCACTTGATTCTCCATCTCCTCAATGTGAAGGAAATAGAAGTACAAGTGGAGGCAGTACAAAGGCCCCGGGGAGGAGATTGGTCAGGAAGGGTCTCTGCTCCACCATAACCCTGAATTCTCGGAGTGTCAGGACCCAGCTTCATACCCTCTTGATCCTCTATCCCCTCAACCCGGAGGAAGTAGAAGTACAAGTGGAGCCAAAGCAATGGCTCCAGGAAGGAGTATCAGCATTCTGATGACATTTCTGGGTCTACGCTCCACCATAACTCTGGTTCTCGGAGTGTCAGGTCCCAGCGGGTTCTCCTGGTGTCTCTCTCCTGTTATTCTGTCTCGGACACATCAGAGGAACATGGTGGGAGATCGGCCTGAATGTCCTTCCTAGGAGAGAATACCGGAGCCATTCTGAGGCCCAAATGATGGCCGGCAATGAGGAGGAAACCAACACTGAGAAGTAGATTGTGAAGCCGGATTTACTGAAATCCTAGATCAGCAGTATAGTTCCTCCAACATTTGGAGAACGTGGTGACCCTCTTTATCAAGCTTACAGACAGAGAGACAAATGCCGGCCATAGACGGGTCGAAAATCGGCCAATTTTTTGGCAAAAAAAATCGGCAGATTTTTCCACTGTTAGTGGGTTAATTGGTCGGCCATTTTTTGGGGGGTTTTTGCACAGTTTTTTTATTGGTCATGTTGGAAAAGTTGCAGCCGATATAGACAATCAGACGATTTTCCCGGCAATAATGATAAGAAGAAGAAAAAGGAAGAAGAAGGAAGAATGAAGAAGAAGACGATTGCAGACTGTCACATCTAGAAGAGGACATTTTATTCTGCTAAAGTGAATTGATCATCGGAAATGGGAGACACCTGAATTATTATTATTATTAATTTACAGTATTTATAAAGCACCAATAGTTCGCTCAGCGCTGTACATTACAAAGGGGGACAGAACATGTGACAGAACAATACCAATACAATGCAATACATGAGGGGATCGAGGGCCCTGCTCTTTTGAGCTTACAATCTAGGAGGGAGGGGATGGTGGCACAGGAGGAGATAGCTGTGGGGGATGGAGTGGTAGGAAGAGTGGAGGAGGTCGGCAAGTTAGCAGGGGGTGGGGGTAGGCTTCCCTGAAGAGGTGGGTTTTCAGGGTGCGCCTAAAGGAGAGGACAGTAGGTGATAATCTGATGGGTTGGGGCAGGGAGTTCCAGAGGATGGGTGACACCCTGGAGAAGTCCTGGAGGTGGGCGTGGGAGGAGGAGACCAGGGAACTAGAGAGAAGGAGGTCTTGTGAGGAGTGCAGTGTGCATCCTGGGCGGTACTTGGATATTAGGTTAGTGATGTAGTTCGGGGCAGTATGGTGGACAGCTTTGTACATCAGTGTTAGGATTTTGAATTTGCTCCGTTGCGCAATCGGAAGCCAGTGGAGGGATTGGCAGAGGGGGTGGCGGAAACGGAGTGGTTGGAAAGGTGAATGAGTCTGGCCGCCGTATTCAGGATGGACTGAAGCGGGGATAGCCAGCGGCGAGGCAGGCCAGTGAGGAGGGAGTTGCAGTAGTTGAGTAGTGATATGATGAGGGAGTGGATGAGCTGTTTAGTGGTTTCTGGGGTTAGGAATGGGCGGATTTTGGCGATGTTGCGGAGGTGGAGTCTGAATGAGTTTGTTAAAGATTGGACTTGGGGCTAGAAGGATAGATTGGAGTCCAGAATGACACCAAGTACTCTGGTGCCTGCGGGGTGGGTTTGATGGTGGAGTTGTTGGACATGATGAGAAGTCAATGGGGGGTGGTGTCCGGGCTGGGGGGAAGACAAGAAACTCAGTTTTGGAGAGGTTCAGTTTAAGGAAGTGGAGCGACATCCAATCGGATATGTCGCTCAGTAGGTGTGTGATTTGGCGGAGACCGAGGGGGTGAGGTGGGGGGTTGATAGATTTGTGTGTCATCGGC